GAGCCCTGGCCCAGGCTGCCCAGGGAGGCTGTGGAGTCTCCTTCTCTGGAGATATTCCAGCCCCGCCTGGACGCGGTGCTGTGCAGCCTGCTCTGGGTGACCCTGCTTGGGCAGGGGGTTGGGCTGGGTGACCCACAGAGGGCCCTTCCAACCCCGAACATTCTGTGATTCTGTGATCTGCCTCCTCGCCCTGGAGGCAACAGTCAGATCACCGCAGCGTGCGGCTCTGCCCGCCCCGGCTGTAGGACCAGACCCCTGCTTCCCTGCTCGGTGCCAGGTCGAACACCCAGGGAGCCATTCCCCGCGGAGGCACAGAGGCAGGGGTGTTCCAGGGGAGGCCAGCACAAGCAGCCTGGGACTGATCAGCAAAGTCTGCGGTGATCTTCTAGCTCCTGGTTACACAGGGAACTGTTTTTACGTGGCTGCTAAAGCATCTGCAAGCATGGCGTGGCAAGGTGTTCTTCTGTTCCTCAGATGCCCTTGCCTCATTGTCAGAGGAAATTATTTTCACTGGGTATCGCTGTTTTGTCTTGAAACTCTTCAAGTATGGCTCCTCTTAGCATAAAATAAGTTTGTGCCCAGTGCAAAGGGCTGGCAAACTTGCCTCATTTGGTTTAAACACTGCAAACCTGGGGGAAGACAATATCCTTTTTTTTTTCTTTACCTAATCAGTTTATTTCACTTTCTGTGCTGGGTTTTTCCCTTTGATTGGGCGTATTTGCAGTATTTCCTTTAACTGGAAAAGAAAACAAACAGTACGAGATAAAATGGTCTACAGAAGCTTACGCCTGTCTGTTCTGACACTGTGCTGGAGTCCCTGCTCATCCAACAGTGGAGTCCAACTTTTTTCCAAGGATTCTGGATTTAATTCCAAATGCGAAATATGATTTCCAAAGGCCCGGAGAAATTTCTAATTTTTTTTTTTTTTTCCCCCCTAATTCTGTGCTTCCCAAAGAACTTGAGCTACCTTAACGTAGACTGGACAACTCCACTTCTGCAAGACCAGAGATCCCGGGAACTTCAAGCTTGGTGTCTCTTCTTCCCAGGCGTGGAGGTGTAGGAATGTCAGTCACTTGGGGAGCGGAGCGACATCACCTACAGACCTGCAAGGCTGGCAGGCCGCTTCTTCAGCACCCTCAGTGCCACATCACAGCTTTTGTCTGGAACTTTCCACTTGGACCGTATCCCACCTGAAAAAGTCTACACACGGTTGTAAAACCGAGATGGGCATAAGGACTCGGAAGATCTGGGAAGTGGAAATGCTCAGATTCACGTCGAAGTCGTCAGCTGTCTTGTGTGGTATTTACTGTGAGCCAGTTAAATCTTCTGCTTGTTTCTTTACTTCCTAGGACCGTTGAAAATGCATCTGAATTTTTGCATCTGGTCCACAAAGGCCTGCAGCTGAGAGTCAAGCACCCAACGCTGGTGCATGCTCATTCCTCTCGTTCCCATCTGGTAGTTACCTTGACCATCACCACAGCTGTCTCCGGAGATAACTCCAGTAAGTAACATGTTACTAAAATAAATTTTTTGGAAAACAGTCTGTGGACTCAGAGGTTCCCATATTGCTTTTTCGTCCTTTTCCCAATGTTTAATACATTCCCTCAGTTCTTTTCCATTGTTTAACCTCTACCTTCTACCTTCTTAAGTAACTGACCAGTTTGATGTCTGAATGCTACTGAAAACATCCACGTTCATAAAATCTTTTGACTTTTTTTTACCTGTCTTAAATAGGGAGTTCTTGAGGTTTTGTAGTGTGAAACAACTACTGAAATCAATTTTGTCAATAAGTCATAAGAGACCAGTAAGATAGATATGCGAATACAGTGGTTAAATCACTTTATATGACATACCACATTTATAACATATGTATATATAATTTAT